CGGCGCTATTACCAAGCCAGCAAGGGCGTGGGAAGTTTGCGAGCATCATCGATCATCGGCGCTCGCGAATAAAGAGCGACCGCTGCACTTCCTGGACAATTGCAGATCCTTCCACGTTTTGGGGTTGGAAGCGCTCGTTCCTAGCGTTTTTCTTCCGCCGGGTCGCGTGGCTGCGCTTTCCTGGTCCTATTACCATGTCTGCAAGGGCGTGGGAGGGTTGCGAGCATCATCGGTTATCGGCGCTCGCGAATGAAGAGCGCCTGTTGCACTTCCTGCACATGTGTGGATCCTTCCGCGTTTTGGGGGTGGAAGCGCTCGTTCCGAGCGTTTTTCTTCCGCCGGGTCACGTGGTTGCGCTTGTTTGGGCGGCCCTATTACCAAGCCAGCAAGGGCATGGGAAAGTTGCGAGCATAATCGATCATCGGCGCTCGCGAATGAAGAGCGCCCGCTGCACTTCCTGCACATGTGCAGATCCTTCCACGTTTTGGTTCTGAAAGCGCTCGTTCCGAGCGTTTTTTCTTCCATCGGGTCACGTGGCTGCGCTTGTCTGGTCCTATTACCAAACCAGCAAGGGCGTGGGAGGGTTGCGAGCATCATCGGTCATCGGCGCTCGCGAATGAAGAGCGCCCACCAGGCCTGTCGATTCAAGGGCAAATGCCCTTAATGCCCTGAACATTCCGGGCTAGTTTTGATCCAGCTCGACTGCATAAAGTTTTAGATTCGCACTCCACCCGTGCCACTAAGTGCTTCGTTCGACCCGTCCCCGGATGCGTTAAGGGACGAAACCAGGCCTTCCCCTTTATCAAAGTTTTGGTTTCCAATCGTAGGACCCCCCCCCCCCCCCCCCCCTCCCCCCCCCCCCCCCCCCCCCCCCCCCCCCCCCCCCCCCCCCCCCCCCCCCCCCCCAATTCTCCTTTGGGTGCACGAGAGCGAGCCAAGTGGATTTTTCCCTTAGCCATTTCTAGCCAATCTCGTGTGTGTAACGTGTCACAGTCAGCTTTGGAGCACCCAAACTTTTCCTTAGCGTCCAATACGAGCTGGCCGCGGGTTAGAGCTGGGACACATAGGATTAGCTTGGGTGAATCTGGCTAACTTGATTGGCCACAGAGAACTCCAACACACTAAACCAAGCACGTCAAAGCAACTGAAGCACTCCAGGCAAGCTGCTCTCTCTCCGCCCACGGTCGTGTGTGCCATGTTTCCTCTCCACCACCACCATGCAATCCAACCACCACCCCACCACCACCACCCACCCACCCAAGCGCTCTATCCACTCCACGTTCGTTCGTTCGTGCCATGTTTCCTCTCCTCCACCATCCAACCACTCTGCCGAGCATAACTCGCGTCGCCTCGCTCACACACCCGGGGTCTATATTATGGCTAGCTAACATGTTCCCTTCATCAGCCACATTCTGCCATAATGGACCCTAGCGAGGGTGAAACCCCTCCTCTAGTTTTGCCCATGACGAGCATCTCTCATAGTTCGACCGAGACCGAGCCTTATGAACCCACGGATGCTGCAGACATGCTAGACGTAGCAATATCTGTGTTGGACCCGCGCCTCGCTCATCAAGCCTCCTCGTCACAGTCTACACCGAGGGCTGCGGGCCGCTACCGTCAGGTGCATCTTAGCTTCGCGAGTCCCCCGCCAGAATCGCGAAAGCGCGCACGAAGCGTACCGCCTCCACCCACTGCTGAGGAGCTTGAGGCGCAGGACAATACTATCGTAGAGGATGCAGAGGTTCCCCAGGACACAGAGATCCCTGCTGCTGAGAGGGCTCTTACACGTCGCTTCAGCACGTCGTGGAAGCAGACGTACTCGTGGCTGAGCCTGAAGTACAACCATGATGAGCGCCAATACGGTATGAAGTGCTCTGTGTGCTGTCAATTCGCTCCTAACACGAAGTCTCCCTTTGGGGGCCCTGGCGTCGGTGCAAGGGATTTTCAGAAGTCGGCGTGCCGCAACTATGACCAGTCCAAGGTGCACCTCACGGCGATGGAAGCTGAACGACTCGCTCAAGGCACGGAGGTGAGGCAGCGCAGCATCCTGGACATGCTCAGCAGCGATCCTTGTCAGAATATGTTGTTTGTGTAGCCTGCAGTAGGGTACTCTATAGTGAGTACAGCCCCTTAGGGTTTGCTATTTGTATCCTGTTGCTTGCTAGTTCAATCATTCCTTCTCAATCCTGTTCGTGCACACAACTCCTAGCCTGTACTTGGCGCCTCGTTCTAGTTCTACTGTGGCCTAGGCTACTAAGCCTAGGCCGTACTCTTACTCTATTTGACATGGTATCAGAGGGCGGCATGTCTGCCGCCTTCCTGTGTATGGGCCCACCACCCGCTTCCGCTGCCGTACTGTCCGCCGCGCGCCCCGTGGTGCGCGGCGGCGAAACCCTAATTTCTGCCCGCCGCGCGCTCGGGGCGCGTGGCGGCTTACCCCTCCGTGGCGCCCGTCGTGGCGCCCGTCGTTTCTACTGCTACCGGGGGCCCGCGCGGCCTCCCTTCCCGTCGCCCGTCGTGGCGACCACGGGGGCTCGCGCGCGGTCCCCTCCCGTCGTCCGTCGTGGCGACCACGGGGGCCCGCGCGGCCTCCCCTCCCGTCGTCCGTCGTGGCGACCACGGGGGCCCGCGCGGCCTCCCCTCCCGTCGTCCGTCGTGGCGACCACGGGGGCCCGCGCGGCCTCCCCTCCCGTCGTCCGTCGTGGCGACCAAGGGGGCCCGCGCGCGGTCCCCTCTCGTCGCCCGTCGTGGCGACCACGGGGGCCGCGCGGCCTCCCCTTCCCGTCGCCCGTCGTGGCGCTCCGGGGGGGCCCGCGCGGCGCCCTTCCCGTCGCCCGTCGCGGCGGCTCTGGGGGCCCGCGCGGCCTCCCCTTCCCGTCGCCCGTCGTGGCGCTCCGGGGGGGCCCGCGCGGCGCCCTTCCCGTCGCCCGTCGCGGCGGCTCTGGGGGCCCGCGCGGCGCCCTTCCCGTCGCCCGTCGCGGCGGCCCTGGGGGGCCGCGCGGCTCCCTTTCTCGTCGCCCGTCGGGGCGCCCTGGGGGCCGCGCTCTTCCCCCCCCCCCTTCCTCCTACCTTCACCTGCAGCGGCCGCCCCTGGAGCCGCCCCTGGAGCAGCCCGCACCTGCAGCAGCCGCCCCTGGAGCAGCCCGTGCCTGCAGCAGCCGCCCCTGGAGCAGCCCGCACCTGCAGCAGCCGCCCCTGGAGCAGCCCGCACCTGCAGCAGCCGCCCCTGGAGCAGCCCGTGCCTGCAGCAGCCGCCCCAGGATCCGCGCGAGCCGCCCCTGCAGCAGCCCGCGGCCCGTCCCTGCAGCCCGTCTCGTCGCCCCCCCCCCCCCCCGTGCTGCCCATTGCTCCCATTCCGCCGTGCGTTCCGCGGTGGTGGGGGTGTGGGGTGGCGAGCATGGGGGTGACCGGTGTGGGTAACCTGAAGCTCCTCCTCCTCCTCCGTCTCCCACTGCTGCAGCTGCCGCTGAGGGGGGTGGGTGTGTGGGAGCCGAGGGTTTAGGGTTTATGGGGGGTGCCGTGGGAGTGGAGCTAGGGGTGCAGCAGGGGGTGTGTGGGGGGGGTGTGGGACAGTTGGAGGAGGTTGAGTGGAGGCAGCCGTCTTGTCGTCTGCAGCGCCTGTAGTCCGGAGCCGTCGCGCTCTAGTAGCCCAGCGAGCCTGCTGCGCCAGTCGCCCGTGGGTCCGTTGCTCCTGCCGCTCGTCGTAGCCGCAGAGCCTGTTACTCCTGTAGTCCGGAGTCGTCGTGCTCTCGGTAGCCACTGTGCCAGCTGTTGCTACTGGTGCCCGTGTGTCTGCAGCTCCAGTCGTCGCCTCCCATCTTCTCTCCACTCACAGTCCCCCCTCCTCCTCACTTGCCCTCTGTGACTGCCTCTAGCTTTGCTCATAATTGTGAACTACTGCTATGCCTGCTCATTGTGCTGATTTCACCCCACTTTGGCTATGGGGGTGTGTCAGAATATGTTGTTTGTGTAGCCTGCAGTAGGGTACTCTATAGTGAGTACAGCCCCTTAGGGTTTGCTATTTGTATCCTGCTGCTTGCTAGTTCAATCATTCCTTCTCAATCCTGTTCGTGCACACAACTCCTAGCCTGTACTTGGCGCCTCGTTCTAGTTCTACTGTGGCCTAGGCTACTAAGCCTAGGCCGTACTCTTACTCTATTTGACAATCCTGTCATGGCGAGGGTGGTCAAATGCATGCAGGGAGCTCACTGGATTGCGCGGAACGATGCACCTATCGCTCTGTACCCCCTGCTGGTGCGGCTTATGGCGGAGCAAGGATGTCCCGACATGATGAACGGTGAATCCTACGGTCGTTATTACTCGCGGTACGTGTTTCGCAGCCTCGTGTTTTTCGGACATCCGCTTCTGTTATTTTGTGAGTGTGTTACTTACATTTTCATTCGGTGTTCAATGCAGGTACGCCTTCGGCGAATTCGTCGAGGCTATGGCGGAGCATTTGTCGGGCCGGCAGCTTGTGGACATCAAGGAGTCGGCCTGGTACAGCCTCTCGTTCGATGAATCCACGGATCGCGCCCGTGGGAAGCACCTCATCATCCATATCACGTTTGAGAGAGGCGAGGCCGTGGTGTCCCAGTTTCTCGCTCTCCTGTCGCTCGAGCGTTGCGACGCCACAGCACTGTACGACGCGATCGTGAAGTTTCTCTTCTCGAAGGACTTGTCGTTGGACAAGCTTGTCGGGGTTTCAACGGATGGAGCGTCCGTCATGACCGGCGCGTAGAACGGAGTTGTCGCCCTGCTTCGGAAACGGTGCCCTTGGCTGGTGGCAATTCACTGCGTGGCGCATCGGTAAGGTTGCTCCGCACTGGTTTGTTATTATTCTACCATCCCCACCGTTACTCACGTACGTGTCGTGGTTGTGCAGCGAGGCATTGGCTGCAAAAGACGCCGCGAAGAGCTTCAAAGAGTTTAACATTGTCGACAAGATGATACGCCAGACTGCAGAGCATCTCGGGCGTTCATCAACCGATCACAAGACCTACATGCAACTCCAGGACGTAATTCTGCAGACGCACCTGGAGGTGCAAGGCTTCTGCGCTGTCCGCTGGTTGTCTCGCGGGGATGCTGTGAATCGCTTCTGTGACGTGCTGCCGGTGCTGATGTGGATGTGGACGAAGGAGAAGGACGAGACGGAGAAAATCGCTACCAGCTTCAAGTTCCACTACATGCTTTATCTCATGGCTGACGTGCTGCAGCTGCTCAACGGACTCAACCTTGCCTTCCAGAAGCAGACGGTAAGGTTGGCATGAGCATGGCCTTGTCCGTTATTGACTTGTGTGCTAGGCTCTAATGTTTTTCGCCCTATGTGCTTTCAGGTCGACATCACTGAGGTGAAGAATCATGTCGACAAGGTGAAGACCAAGCTGGCGCAGTACTACGTCGAGCCCAGCGCATCCAACGGGCCGAACACCTCTCGCCTCAACAAGTTCCTTGCTGCACACGGCAGCAAGGACAAGCGCAAACTGGAGCTTAAAGGAGTGGGTGCAGACGGCAAGCCTGCAAAAGCCACGGTCGAGTTTCATGAGGACATTATCGACCCTGAAAACCCTGGGGGGGGATGCGACTTGGAGGCTTGCGTGGACCTGGCGAGGCGTTTCGCTCAGCGCCTGATTAAGGCGCTGGGGAAGAGGATGGCAGACCTGCGCCATTTTGCTGGTGTTGGTTTTTTCACCCCTGATAAGTATCCCCTACGTGCAGGAGAGCTGGACACTTGGGCGAAGCAACATCTCACACAGCTCCTTGACATGTTCAAGAACCAGCTCCCTGGTAAGTAATGAGGCGCATAATAGGAAACCCTTTATTATCCAATTTTGATAAGATCTAACCTTGTGTATGTCCTTGGCAGGAGTCGATGTTGCTGACATAGAGCCGCAGATGTGCCTCTTCACAACCACCATGGAGAAGAAGTTCAAGTTTCAGAGCTTCCATCAGGCTCTCACCAACATGCTGCGCACGGCAGACTGGAGGGATGACTATCCCACCATTGTCGCTCTCTGGCGTGCGGTCTCTGTGTTGCCCCTCAGCACTGTTGAGTGTGAGAGGGGCTTCTCCCGGCAGAATATTATTAAGTCGTGGGATCGTGTTGCTCTTACTGATGTGAGGCTGGGGGAGCTGATGACGGTGAAGATGCTTGACTACCCGGTGGACTGGGCAGAGGCCTATGCCTTGTTTGAGGAGAAGGGGAGGAAGGGGAGGAAGCCTGCCAAATAGGCTTGCATTGCATGTTATGTCTGTAGTTAGAGTAGAGTAGTTGGTCATTGCATGCTATATCTGGAGTTAGGGTAGTAGAAGATTGCAGGCTAGGAAGGTTCTATGACTTGTAGCATTAGGTAGATTTGACTACTAATAAAAGTAGATAACTATGCGTTTTATCAGAGCTAAATAAAGTGTAAGTGTACACTCCGCTCGGGCCCGGATTTCAAGTTTAGACTTTGGGGTGTGCCCGTGACCGTTAAGGGCGCCAAAACGCTCAGCTACACCCAACCCAGGGTCAGATGGGGAGGAGCTGGGGAGCGTAAGTACAGGCCCCAGAAACTTCGACAGGCCTGGCGCCCACTGCACTCCCTGACCATGGAATTTATTTGTAAATGCAACTTTAACAACTCAAATGTTTTATTTGACTTACTTTGTTTGACTGAGATTTTTGATTGGTCCACCACCATAAGCACCATTTCTCAGGATCAATTTGTGTATGTTACAAGTTTTTGAAGACAAATAAATTATTAGGAAAATAGTAACATGGCAGAGTGAGATTCATCATGTGGATTGCAGGAACTAGTGAGCATTCTACAATGCACCATGCCTGGCACGTCACATAGCCAGGCCACCATGAGTCTATCCCCTAGGCCACATGATAAAACACACCACTGCCGTAACACAACTACGGTAAGCACACAGAGCTAATATTGATAGCGCAAGACTTGTCTTGGTCAAGGTTGCTTCAGACCGGACAGACGAAAAGGAGCGGCGAAAATATACGACTTTGCGCTTGCAGACGACGCGCTCTAATTGGCCCACACGCCGAAGAGATCCGCATCACCATTAGCAGCAATCTGCGACGCATCAAACGCATCGAAGTCGTCAAGCATGTCGCGGAAGATGTTGTCCGTGTTCTCAATCGGCGCCAGGTCCGCCAGCAGCGAGTTCAGGCACTCCGCATCCTCCTCGCTGCTCGTCTCGCTCTCCGTCGCCTCCAGCTTCACTCCGCCCATTGCGTGCGACGGCTCCAGCTCCGGAATAAACGCTGGCGATGCAGGTGCAGCGGGGGAAACGGGGGACGAGGGGGAGGCGGGGGACGGGAGCGGGAGGGAAAGGCCAGCGGTGCGGATGGCCTGGCCCTGGAGAGATTTCTCGAGCGCATCGGCAATCTCGGACGTATCGAACATCTTCGCGGCCTCGCGGCTCGCCTTCAGCAGAGTCTCGGCGGTAGCGGGCGGCAGCGGAACCAGCTGGAAGCTGCCGGGGAAGTTCAGCGACGCCTTGGACCCGCGGAGCAGGCGCGCGGCGACGTCGTAAGCGCGGGCGGCGTCCTCAGGGGAGTCGAATGAGCCGAGCCAAATGCGCGTGCGCTTGCGGGGCTCGCGGATTTCCGAAACCCACTTCCCCCACTTGCGCTGGCGCACGCCCTTGTAGCGCGGGCCCTGGTCGCGCGCCGCGTTGCACACGACAACTTCTGAGTCCGAATCCTTGTCTTCCTCCTCCGACGACCACGTGGCAGCGTCGAGAGAAGTCGGCTCCTGCTTGGCGCGCTTTCCGCGGACAGACTTGGCGGAGTCGCCACCGCGGGAACGCTTACCCGCGAAGACCTTCTCGAGAATAGGCAGCGACGGATGGGAGCCCTCGGACGATGCGGGGGATGGAGCGAAGGATGTAGCAGCGGATGGTGCCGGAGAGGGAGCGTCGTGCGCGATGAGAGGATGCGGCGCGGGGAGCGGGGCGGAAACGGGAGCCTGAGAGAGAGCGTTCAGAGCGGGGACGGCGAAGGAGAGGGAGGACTGAAGCTGGTGGAGGGTGTCGACCTGCTGGCGCTGCTGCTGCTGCTGCTGCTGATGCTGCATGGCGCGCTGGTTCTGGCTGACGGCGTCGACGAGGCGCACGAGCCCCATTATCGCATTCTGCGCCGCGAGAAGCGCATTGCCGAGAGCCGCCTCGCCGTCAACAGGGGGGTCGACGAGGGGAGAGACAGAGGAGAGAGGGAACGACTGCTGCTGCTGGTACTGCTGCTGATACTGGAACTCCATTTCTCAGAAGAAGGTGAAGGAATCGAGAAGCAGGGACGATCTAGTGAAGTAGAACCGAGGAGCTTGAGAGAAAGGATTGAGGAGAGCTGCTGAATCGCAGAGAGTGGAAGAGGGAGCTGCTTCAGGGGTTTCTGAAAGGAGGCTGGAGGGATAAATTCCAAGAAGTCTGGAGAGAGAGCTTCTAGAAGAGAGGTATTGGAAGTCTGGAATCACAGAGAAGGGGGTGTAAGAGGGTCGTTAGGGAAGTAAGGAGGCAAGTCGTAGCCTACTTACTCCGCTAAAAGGACATCTCCTGCCTGGCGGCGGAGAGATGTCAGTTTAGCAGAGAAGAGGAACGAAACGCGAACTCGACTAAGGGAACAAAACCGCAGAGCGGCGCAGGATCGCACTATCAGAACGCTTTTAGAGAGCAGTTGAAAGCTTTGGTAAGTGAGCACTGGAAACTGAAATGAGAAGTGAAGCTGATATAATTGTTCAGCAAGAGCAGGGGCCGATGGGGGCAAGGAACAATCGTTTGCTGGAGGAGGAAGTGGTTGGAGGGGATGGGCGGAACGGGAGAGGAGATGCGCACAACTTGAGGGGATGTGCGGATCGGCATTCGCAAGGACTCGGGAGGGAGCAACCCCCCGGAATGAAAGAGAGGGCGGGAAAGTGGAAGGGTGGATGGATGCAGCGGGCGGGGCGGGAGGGAGGGGAGGGAGGTGAACGGGGGAAGTGAGTGGGGGAAGAGAAGCTACGAGGAAGGGAAGCTCGACTGAAACCCCGATGCTTTTGGCACCAAGAATTTCGCCGATGATTGCGGACAGGGGGACCTCTTGCTGAGTTTCTGCGCGCCCAACTTTTCCAGAAGGCTCAACAAGATGCGGTCGATGTTGAACTGGCATCACGGGGGAAGACGCCCGTGCAGATTCTGTAGAACTTGGAGAGGGGCGGAACGTGATTGCGCTTGGGACCACGAGATTGCGCCCCCCGCCATCTCCGGTTCAGAATGGCGCTCCGCGAAGCAAATTCAGCAGCGCGGCTGAAGCGGGTCATTCTGACGTGAGCCCGCGACGCGAGTCTGCAATGTGGGCTGCTTGGAGCAAAGCGTCACGTGAGTGATGCAAGCAGGCCACCTCACCAACAAAACAAACCAGAATCGAGGGGTTGGTGCAGGAAAACTGCACGTCAGCAGTACATGTCGACACTTAACGGAACACAGGGTGTGAAGGCAAGCCTGCGGGCATCCATAACTAACAAGTCAGAGAACTTCTAAATAACGGACAAACTGTAACTGAGGGGAACATTCCCACAGATACCCAAGCCCACTGGCCCCGATGAATCCAAAAGGCGCAAGTTGGATTTACAATCTATCCAGCTGTGTGAGCGACGGCGGGCAGGTAGAAAAAAATCCTTCGATTGAGAGACACCCGCTTGATGCACATAGCTTCAAGCACAATATGATGAAATTGTTAAGCCAATGAAACGCTTATATTATAAGATGCATATATGGCACAGCAGCCAATCAGCTTGAATCAAGGAAAAAAATGCATGACATTGTTTGAGAGCATTGCTTCGTATCATTTCGAATCACTGAATATGGAGTCTACAACTGTAACAGCCGCCGCCCTAGCTGCAATATCCCCTGACACTGCATGCTCTTCAAAGTACCTCATCAGCCCTTGAAGCTTGCCTCCCGACCTAAATCTGGACAAGGGAGCCAAAACAAACAGTGTGGGCGATGTTCGCATGCAGACGTAGTCCGGAAAATACCATAAGGAAACACTAAAACATATTCAAATCAACACATAAATAAGGGAAAATCCACGACTCACTTGTACAGTATTTCCGCCTCCACGGTGCTCCACAGCAGTCCCCTGTTCTGAGCGCCCCTCAGCTGCTGCAGCTCGCCGGACGAGCGCATAGCTTCCTGGAACTTTCCTATCTTCTTCCACAAGTCCTCTATGCCCAGCCCTGTGCGCGTGCTGCACGCCACCACCTGCAGGGCCGAGAGGGAAGCCATGCAGAGGGGTGTGAGGTTGTACAGGAGCAAGCTGGAGCATGGACAGCAGCATGCACGGGTGTTGCTTGCATGCAAGAACTGAGACATTTCAACACTTGGTCTCACCGGGATCATCCAGAAGTTGTCGGCCCAAGTCATCCAGAGTCTGCTTAGAAAAACTGGGACATCTCAGCAACACACGGTGCATCTCACCGGAGTCATCCAGAAGTCATAGCGTGGGTGCACAAAGTGCAGTGCATTGCTGTACTCGCCCACCGCTGCCAGCGCTGCCCCCTCCATTGCTCCGTCTGCCGTGTTCACGTGTCAACATTCGAACTCACCGGGGTCATCCAGAAGTCGTAGCGCGGGTGCACGAAGTGCAGTGCATTACTGTACTCGAGAAGTGAGACGGCAAGGACTTGGTCCGCCCAGCGACCTGAACTCACCGGGGTCATCCAGAAGTCGTAGCGCGGGTGCACGAAGTGCAGTGCGTTGCTGTACTCGCCCACCGCTGCCAGCGCCGCCCCCTCCATGGCACCGTCTGCCTTGTTCACCACCACCAGATCAGCAATCTCCACCACTCCTGGATACGATTAGGAGGAGGGTGTACGTTTAATAGAAAGGAGAGGATGGGAGGGGCGGGCACAGTTGATGCGCAATTGTGAGTGCCCGGCTGTCAGCACTGCCCGGCACCCGCTGCCCCCTCTACAGCACCGTCCGCCTTGTTCACCATCACCAGGTCGACTATCTCCACCACTCCTGTATAATGAGGGATGGGAGATGAATGAACCGCACTGCACTCCTCTGCACCGCACTGCACAGCTCTTCCCCCAGCTTTCATGATGCCCTGCACCTCGCCGGCCCCAGCAGGTTGCAGCACCACCAGCACCATGTCAACGACCTGTGCCACCGCTATAACCCCCCCACCCCCCTGCACTGTACCGCACTGCACCGCACTGTACTGCACTGCTCACCTTTTTTTATGCCCTGTAGCTCGTCGCCGCCAGCGGGCGGCAGCAGCAGCAGCACCATGTCTGTTATCTGTGCCACTGCCACGTCAGCCTGCCCGCCCCCCACCGTCTCCACCAGCAACACATCGCACCCACTCGCCTGAGAGAGGGGAAGGGGGCAGGGGGGAACGGACGGGTGGGTGGGTGGGTGCAGAGAGCATGGAAGCATGAGAAAGCTCAACAGCACGTCCACCAGCAACACATCGCACCCACTCGCCTGTGAACACATGGGGGGCGGGGCAGGGGGAAGGGGGAGCGAGGAGGGGAGGAGTGTAAGGGGAGTCGACGCTTTTTGGGGGGGCTGTGAGGGTAGTCGACACTTTTTGGGGGGCTGTGAGGGGAGTCGACGCTTTTTGGGGGGGCTGTGAGGGGAGTCGACGCTTTTGGGGGGGACTGTGAGGGGAGTCGACGCTTTTTGGGGGGGCTGTGAGGGGAGTCGACGCTGCCCTTTGGTTTGAGTCAAGTCAAAAAGGCTCTAGTTTATGTGCAACGTGTGTTCATCCGCCCCCTCACCCCTGCCAGGATGGTCGGGTGAACACCCTCTACTCCACGCCCTCAATCTATCTGGACGCCCAGCAGCAAGCTGATGAGACCTGGCCGGTCAAGACTGGCCGCCCTCAATCTATCTGGACGCCCAGCAGCAAGCTGATGAGACTGGAAAGAGGGGGAAAGGGGAACGTTTTGGGGAAGGAGGAGGAAGCGCTCAGATCACACCACACCATACTGATTACCACATCACACCCACCGTCAAAATCCTTTCCTCGTTTCCCCTCCTTTGCCCTCTCCCCTCCATCGTCCCCTCATCTCACCTCGCACAGCAGCACTGCGTCGGCAGTGTTGCGCGCGAGGCCCCCCACCTCCCTTCTCCTCCACCCCATTCCCCTCCCCTCCGCTTCCCCATCCCCCCCCCAACCCACCTCGCACAGCAGCGCGGCGTCAGCGGTGTTGCGCGCGAGCCCGCCCACCTCCCCGCGCGAGGGCGTGGGGCGGATGAACGCGGAGGGGTGCGCGGAGAGGCGCTCCATGCGCGTCTTGTCGCCCAGAATGGACCCCCCGCTGCTGTGCGATGACGGGTCGATGGCCAACACGGCTACTCGCCTGTCGTCCTGAACGGCGTGCATGCCCAGGCCTGGGGGAAGGCGAGGGGAAGGCGAGGGGAAGGCGAGGGGAAGGGGGAGAGAGATTGAGATTATCCCCTGCTGTTGCACGGAGAGGCGCTCCATGCGCGTCTTGTCGCCCAGAATGGACCCCCCGCTGCTGTGAGATGATGGGTCGATGGCTAGCACGGCTACTCGCCTGTCGTCCTCCACCGCGTGCATCCCGAGGCCTGGGGAGATCGGGGATTCGAGAGGACGGCAGAAGGGAAAGGGGGACTGGCGAAGACCCGTGGAGACGGGGATTCGAGACAGGGTCAAGGGGAGAAGGCCGGTGCGCGGAGAACAGAACATAGAGCGGCGGGATGCCTGCCACGCCGCTTCCGCTGAGCCCATTCGCCCCCGCTCCTCCTCCTCCTATACCCTCCCCCCTCGTCTGATCGTCCCTCCCGCACGCACGTTCGATCAGCGACGACTTCCCCGCGCCGGGCGGCCCCGTGATTCCGATCTTGAAGAATCCATCCCTAGCCTTCCCCGCGCCGTGCGCGATCTCCGCCTGCGCCTTCCGCGCGCGCACCACCTCCAGCACGTGCTGCAGCAGCGCCGCGGCCTGCGGGCGGTGCGACTCGCGCACGGACTCGCAGAGCGTGATCGCGCGGCTCAGCGCGTGCAGATTGCCGTCCAGCACGTCCTGCGCGAGCCGCGCGAATCGCGGCTCAAGCGGCGGGAGATGGAGCTTCTGATTGGTGGCGAAGGAGCGGGAAAACGCAGGGGGCGGAGCGGGAGATGCGGGGGATGCGGGAGAGTGGGCGTTGGTGAGAGCGGAGTGAATAGCGGCGGGATTGGCGCAGGGTGTGGACCGCCCTCCGCGTCTGGCAGCGCGGAGGGCGCTGGATGAGCATCGAGAAGCGGCGGTACGCCACATGGCTGCGCGCAGGACACGCGAGAATTGTCGTCGCTGCACCTCTCGCGTGTGTATCTGAGCTCAGAGCAACTGGCGAGAAATTTATGGCTGATGGGTGTGCTTTATTTACAAAGTTCAGCCGAATTCGTTTCGGTCAACGTGTGCATGGGAGAGATCGAGGCCAAGTGTAACGAATTTCGAGGCACGAGATGAATCGATGCTTATTGGTTTGAGGTGCGTGTCCCTCGGTTGGATCTTTCCAGCTAGATGGCTGATTTGCTGCCACGTGCACTGCCGCTTCCTCGATACCTGGGTACCAAGATCTCTCCGTTATTGAGTTCGTAATGCTGTTCTCTGTGGGGGGGATTTTGGATGGCATGACACTTATAAACTGCTTTCGAAATATACAAACAAAAGAATCTCTATCAAGTTTGGCCACGGAGAACACTGCAGCTAATTCCGGCAGCTTTCGCAGCTCTTTGTGCTACCCTCTCATAGTCCCGGCGCCTGAGGTCCTCCTTTTGAAATATGGCTTCGGACAGAACAACAGCAACGGCCCCGGCTTCGAGATACCCTTCGATCATGTCTGCAAGTGAACAGACAAGAAAGTGCATGTAGTTTCTTTGGGAGGCAACGCGGATGTATCCACAACTTGAAGTGGCAGGTAACCAGTAGCATTAGCATCGACTCACCCAGCTGAATGCCATGAGCCGGCACTATCCCGATGGAGAGCACTGCTCGGTGCATGGCCTTCACCAGTGCCAGCCCTCCTGCATAGGGCGCTGGGAAGAGCTGATAGGGCAGCAATGATGGGTGAGGGAGAGAGAGGATGGGTGATGACGAGAGGAACAACAGTCAGAAGAGAGTATGGGTGATGAGATGAGATGGAGGGAGGAGAGGGGGGGGGGGTGCCATAGTAGCAAGAATGAGAGGTGTGAAAGGATAGTGGCACTGCTGCAACGGACACGGCACCACTCGATGCATGTCATGCGATGGACGGAAAATCGATTACTGTCACATTGCTGCATTGCATGGCGTGGCGTGGCACATGGAACAGCATGGCATGGCATTGCAAGGCACAGCATGTCCCCACCTTGACCAGGGGAGCTCCAAGGCGAGAGGCTGAGAGGATCTGAGGGCAGCAATAGGGCAACAGATGGGGAGAGGAGAGAGGCGAAGAGAAGAGCAAAGGGACAGCGAGAGTGAGACAGGGAAAGGACACTATGAGCACAGGCAGTCATTGTGCATTGTAGATGCGCAGAGGGGCGAGTGCATGTGCCTCCAGTGGATGGCATACCTCCAGTGGCAGCATACCTCAGTGAGCGGCATACCTCAGTGAGCGGCATACCTCAGTGGGCGGCATACCTCAGTGGGCGGCATACCTCAGTGAGCGGCATACCTCAGTGGGCGGCATACCTCAGTGGGCGGCATACCTCAGTGAGCGGCATACCTCAGTGGGCGGCATACCTCAGTGGGCGGCATACCTCAGTGAGCGGCATACCTCAGTGAGCGGCATACCTCAGTGGGCGGCATACCTCAGTGGGCGGCATACCTCAGTGGGCGGCATACCTCAGTGGGCGGCATACCTCATGGGCGGCATACCTCAGTGGGCGGCATACCTCAGTGGGCGGCATACCTCAGTGGGCGGCATACCTCAGTGGGCGGCATACCTCATGGGCGGCATACCTCAGTGGGCGGCATACCTCAGTGGGCGGCATACCTCAGTGGGCGGCATACCTCAGTGGGCGGCATACCTCAGTGGGCGGCATACCTTAGTGGGTGGGCGGCATACCTCGGTGGGTGTCATGGCACCGGGAATGAAGACCATAGGGCCTGCTGCATGTGATGCCACTAAATCCTGCCATGCATGACGTGGAGTGTGGGACGTGAACAACGCACATAGCATGAGATGAGCACATGTGAAGAGCCATGAAAGCAGAATCGACAGAAATCCAAAAGGCAGCATGAGACATACTGCATTGGTGGCATGCGCACATGGCACCATGGCGTGCACATACCGCACACACCACATCGGTGGCATGCGCACATGGGCATATTGCACGTACCGCATCAGTGGCAGGGCTCATGAGGAAGCGAGCACCAGCACGTTGAGCTGCCATGGCGTCTTGCCGGGAGAGCACCGTGCCCGCCTGTGGTAGTCAGGGGGGCATGGTGGGGGGCATGGCACTGATGACGATGGTGGCGGTGAGCGGAGGAGGACAACGCTGCGCTGTGTGCGGAAAACCCACTCTCTCACTCACGCAATCAGTCCCTCGCTCCCTGACTCTCTCCCACTCACTCTCATTTACTCACCCCTATGGTGGCATGTGGAAAGTCCGTGAATAGTGATGCAATGACCTGCAGAAAGGGGGAAGGCGCGTGGGAGGGGTGTGGGGAGAAGAGGATGAGAGTGATAGATGCATGCCGGGAGAGGATATGTGTGTGAGCGAGAGAAAGGATGCGAGATTATGATCACATGCCATCCCTATAACACACACCACACCACACCACACCACACCGCACCGCACAGCACGGCAGGAGCGCACCTGGAAGGCGCCAGGGGTGGTGCATGTGACCTCCAGCTGCCACGGTGGAAGGGGGGGATGGTGGGGGAGGGGGTGTGGGGAGGGCGGGTGAATGGGGAGGCGGAATGACAATGGGGCGCATGTTGGGTGGGGGATGGGGCAGGGAAGTGAGAAAGAAAGTTAGGATGTTTTGATGCATCGCTGCGAGCAATGTATGGTGGGGGGAGCGCGCCTCGCATGGTCATGGTGTGGGTGGGAGGCGGTGACTCACCACTTGGATCCCCGCAGAGAGTGCAGCACGCGCAGCTGAGAGCGCCACGTCAGCACTGCGTCAGCAGGGCGAGGGGAGGGCATGAGAGAGAGGAAGAGTACGCACGGATCATGTGGTTGGCTGCAAATGGAGAGTGCTTGCTAGCCATGGCGCCTCGCTTGCGATCCAACTCATGGTGCGGTGCTGTGACGCTCTCTCGCTCTCTCTGCTGCGCTCAGCCCACCTCTCCCCGCGCACTTCTTCCCCACGTCCCCCTTCACTGCTTACCCGCGCTGCGCCCCCTCCCCCTCCTATCCCGGACCTTTTTCCCTTCTTCCTCTCTTCCCCGCGGCGCGCACCTGTCAGCGCGCACGCACGCCACGATCCCCGACGCCGCGATTGCCGCCACTGTCTGCTGCCGCCTATCAGCGTCTGACACGTGGCCCGTCGCGCCGTCGCTCCGCACGGCTGCCTCAGTGACGTCAGCAGTTGGCGAGGACAGGCTGCCATTGGAGCGGCCGTTTACCACGTGGCACCGGACGGACGCGTGGTGCTGACTGCGTGCTGACGTGGCAATGCACGAGGACGTGGCTCTGCTGGTGGCGCTGGTGCCATTCACACGCGCGGAGATCGCACGCGGTGGGAAGGGGGTTCGCGGGGAGGGGCCTGACGGGGAGGACAGCCGCGCGATCCGCGCGCAGGAGGCGGAGAATGTCGCGGTTTCCATGCGACCGCGCTAGCTACGAGCGGAAGGCGAGGGAAGATTGATGCGCGGACAAAAACGACGAGTTGAGGGGATGTGTAAACGGGGTTCACAGGGTATGGCGGCAGAGGGAAACGCCGAGGATGTGGGCGTGTGAGCTGATAGTGTATGAGAGGAAGCTCACGAAATCCCGAATCCTGCGGATGAGAACCACGCAACCGGTTTGAACAGGTTTATGAAATGTTGCTGACAAGTCTGTCCGCTCCCCAGCGAATAAATGAAGTTTGGGGTTGAGATTGCATAAATTGGATTTGAGTGTACACTATAATTCGTCACGTCCATACCAGTAGTACTATCGAGTTCAGGTGCAAACCGTCTTTGAACGTGAGGCAACGTACTCAACCGTATGAACTGTATTGAGTGTTAACTCTATCGCCGCCGCCCCTCCACCAATCGAGTGCTTGCTTGTTCCTCCGTGTCCTAGAATCTGCGGCCAGGAGAAAAAAGCAAGGCCGCCGCTGTCATCACAAACACGCACGAGGAACGCTCGTAAACATATCTGTAGGCGTTTCCTGTCAAACGCAGCTTCTCCAGTACCGTCCTCTCGGTAGGGCCACTGCCCCAGCGTCGCGGCTCTTCGCCTCCTTCCCTGTCGCTTCCCAAGCGCCTCGCTCTGCCTCTCTTCGTTCTTAACGCAGCTCTCACACCTTTCTCTCGTTTCGGAGAGGAACAAAATAATAATCAAATCCTTCCTCTCTGCTTTTGCGCACCGCTACGCACGCCATGACCGCCGCTCTCTCCACCCCCCTCGCGCTCGCGCGCTCCTCTCACCTCCGCGCAGCCCTTTTTCTCCGTCCAAATCGCAGCGCATGGCGGCCACTTATTCAAAGTAGTCCACTCGCGCCACAATTCACGGCCCGTGATAGCCGGTTATGGAAGCAACCACGGCGTGCAATGGCGACAGCGGCTGCGGCGGCGGGGGACGCGTCAGGCGGGCAGACGGCAGTGAGTGCCGACCGGAATGGCGCCACGAGCACCGCCGCTGGCCCGGACTTGACGGAAACCGGCAAGTCTGCCGGCCGCGAGCGGACGGTGCGGCTGACGTCACGCGGGATCGTGTGGACGGACGACGAGGTGGAACGCGTGCTGACGGACGCGCGGAAGCGCATCGGGCCGCGCCACGTGGACATGATGACGTGGCGGCGCGCGATCCACGCGTATCCTGAGCTGGCGTTCGAGGAGGAGCGGACGGCTGAGATGGTGGCGGGATTGCTGGCGGAGTGGGGGTATGACGTGGACAGGAGCCTCGGGAGTACCGGCGTGGTGGGGACGCTGACAGTGGGGGAAGGGGGAAGCGCCGAGGGCGGAGAGGCGGAGGAGCTTCCGCCAGCCATCATGCTGAGGTGCGCTATAGCGAGGATGAAATGTAGTGTAGGCGGTGTGAGCGATAGGGTGTGAGTGGCTGGTGGTAGGACGCTGTGAGTGGGCATGGGATGGGAGAGGGAACGGAATGCAGTTCTCAGCATGCGCGCTTATGTGTCCTCATCCCTCCACAATCCACTTCCCTTCCTCCCCAATGCACGCCCCTACTGTCTCAATCCCCCTCCTCCTCCGCCTCCCCTTCCTCACCAATGATCTCCCCCCCTTCCTTATGCGCGTGCGTGCAGGGCGGACATGGATGCGCTCCCCATGGAGGAGGGCAACGCGTTTGAGCACCGCTCGCAGCGCCGCAGCACCATGCACGCATGCGGGCACGATGGTGAGACGCGCATGCATGCATGATCCTTGAGGCGCCATGCCCATGCCATGCCACGAATGCCCACGTGGCACGGTGCACACATAAAGATTTTCCCTTACCTGCTGCCCGCATTGCCCCTTGTCCAGCCACCAGTCACTCTGTTGCTCCCTGCCCTTTCCTTCCGCCAACCCCCCACCCCCACCCCCCAGGCCACACGGCCATGCTGCTGGGAGCAGCGCGCTATCTAACCGAGCACCGCCCGTTCAGAGGGCGCATCCACGTGGTTTGCAGCTACTCCACTATGAGCCTGAATCCACGTGGTGTTCCAACCCGCCGAGGAGGGCACACCCACACACACGCACCTTCATGCCAACTGACAAACAACTGCTGATTTGTGTCCGCCCCTACTACCCCTTCCCCCACCAACAGGCCACACGGCCATGCTGCTGGGAGCAGCGCGCTATCTGGCAGAGCACCGCCCGTTCCGTGGTAAAATCCACGTGGTGTTTCAGCCGGCGGAGGAGGGCACTCCCACGCACAACCCGTACGGGCGGGAGGGCGGGGGCGCACTCGCCATGCTGGAGGATGGGCTGCTGGAGAAGTACCCCGTGCGGGCTGCATTCGGCATGCACAACTGGTTAGTGGATGGGCGCTGCTGGTAACGGGATAGTAACGGATTGCACAGCTGGTAACGGGATAGTAACGGATTGCACAGCTGGTAACGGGATAGTAACGGATTGCACAGCTGGTAACGGGATAGTAACGGATTGCACAGCTGGTAACGGGATAGTAACGGATTGCACAGCTGGTAACGGGATAGTAACGGACTGCACAGCTGGTAACGGGATAGTAACGGATTGCACAGCTGGTAACGGGATAGTAACGGATTGCACAGCTGGTAACGGCCGAGGAGGAGGGCACGCCCACTCACAACCCGTACGGGCGCGAGGGCGGGGGGGCGCTCGCCATGCTTGAGGATGGGCTGGCGCGAGGGCGGGGGCGGGGGGGCGAGAAATACCCCGTGCGGGCCGCCTTCGGCATGCACAACTGGTAATGTGGCAGGCTTGCATTGTGGGGATGCGTGCTGCAGCCTGTGGTAATGGCATGTGTAGCGTGCTGCCGACGGGAGTGGATAGCTTTCACCTCCACGTGCAGGGAACGCCTGGCATAGCACTGATTGTCGACGCACCTAGGATTTTGCACCGAACGCTCACCCATCCCAACCCCTTGCCATCTCTCCCTCACAGGCCAGGGTTACCAGTGGGGCGGTTCGCAATCCATTCAGGGCCGGTGATGGCAGGAGTGGACATACATATTTCACATCACCGTGGGGGGCACGGGCTGCCATGCTGCCATGCTGCTGGTTGCATTCCCTGAAAACCTCCCCCCCTCCTCCACCCCTTGTCACCTCTTCATCTCTCCCCTGCAGGCCAGGGCTACCAGTGGGGCGGTTTGCGGTCCATTCAGGGCCAGTGATGGCGGGGGAGGGTACCTTTCACATCACGGTGGGGGGCATGGGCTGCCATGCCGCCATGCCACACCACACCCTGCGAGAGCACCGACCTCCCCCATCCCAACCCCCCTTGCCATCCCTCGCTCCCAACCATCCAGGCCAGGGTTACCAGTGGGACGATTTGCTGTGCATTCGGGCCCGGTGATGGCAGGAGTAGACAACTTCCAGATCACGGTGGGGGGCACGGGCTGCCATGCCGCCATGCCTCATCTGGGGGGAGGGGAAGAGGGACCACTCACCCATCCCAACACCTTGCCATCCCTCCCCGCCCCTCCAGGCCAGGGTTACCAGTGGGGCGGTTTGCTGTGCATTCAGGGCCAGTGATGGCGGGAGTAGAGAACTTCCACATCACGGTGGAGGGCACGGGTTGCCATGCTGCCATGCCGCACCTGGGAGGGGGCAGTGACCCCGTGCTGGCTGCTGCTAACCTCGTCACCAACCTGCAGGTACGCGTCTGTGGGCTTGTGCGCGTGTGTGGGCGTATGTGCATGGGTGAGCATGGGTGTGAGTGTGTGCATGTGGAGGGGTTCTTTCCAAGGTGGGTGGTTTCAATAATCACCTGGGAGGGGGCAGTGACCCCGTGCTCGCTGCTGCCGCGCTGGTCACCAACCTGCAGGTGCGCGTGGGGGCGGGCGTATGTGCATGCATGCGTGTTCGCTGGGAGGTTCAGAAGTCACCTGGGAGGGGGCAGTGACCCCGTGCTCGCTGCTGCTAGCCTCGTCACCAACCTGCAGGTGTGTGTGTGCAGGGAGGGGGGGGTCCTTGTGTGCATGTGTGACATTTGTTCATGAGCTCATGTGGAGGGGGGGGGAAGGGGGGGTTTGAGGTGTGAGGCCTGAGAAGTCACCTGGGTGGCGGCAGTGACCCCGTGCTCGCTGCTGCTGCCCTCCTCACCAACCTGCAGGTATGTGTGCGGTGTTGTGTACATCTGTGCATAGTGTGTGTGAGTGTGGGCATGTATCCATGTGCGCGTTTGGGAGAAGTCGCCGATGGCTAGTTTGAGCAGAGGTTATAGTGGGCTGATGGCAGTTGTGAGTGACACTCTCTTGTACCTAAGAATGCTAATACTCCCTCCCTCCCTCCTTTCCCCCTGCCACCGTCTCACCAGGCGTTGGTGAGTCGGGTGGTGGATCCACATCCACATGACACATTCAGATACACTCCCGCACAGCACTGCTCTCCTGTCCTGTCCCCTACCCTCTCCCACTCTCCCAACACACCAAGCAGGCGTTGGTGAGTCGGGTGGTGGACCCACATGACAGTGCGGTGGTGAGCGTGACACAGATACATGCAGGGGACGCCTTCAACGTCATCCCTCCCTCCGTCAGTGCCCACCCCACCCGTCCCCCTTGCCCCTCCGTCACCCCACTGCCATTGCTCGTGCGCATCCACTCCAGCAGTGTGTGCGTGCATGCTGCAAGTGCTCAGCTCCATGCCTGGCAGTTGCTTGTCGCCTGCATGCATGCATCCTCATCACTCGCTCTTGCTCCATCACTGGCAGCTCTATCCGTTTGTGAATACTGCTTCACCCAATAACTAAGCTTTGAGCCGCTCTTGTGCTCTATCTCGTTGTCCCTCCTCTCAACCCTCTGCTCCCCTCCATTCCCCGCCTCTTCCCTCCCACTTGTGCCTCCCATGGCTTCATGGCAGGCCGAGGTGAAGGGCACGCTGAGGACGTACCGGGGAGAGACGAGGGAAGCGATGATGCGCGGGATAGAGCGCATGGCACACGGGGTCACTGCTGCTCATGGTGAGAAGAGATAGAGAAGAGAATGGAGAGAGGAGAGAGGGGAGAGATTGGAGACGAGGGAGGGTGTGGACGAGGGAGGCAATGATGAAACGGATAGAGCACACGGCACATGGAGTGACTGCCTCCCCCCTCCTCCCCTCCAGGGTGCGATTCTGTCACCACTTCCCTGCCACCATCAACACGTGCCCCGTGCTTGCCCCCCCGTCCCATTCTCCTGTCCTTTCAGGCTGCACTGCCACAGTGCGGTTCTGCGATCACTTCCCCGCCACCGTCAACACGCCCCGGGAGGCACAGGAAGCGGCAGCAGCAGCACGGGCGGTGGTGGGAACAGCTTTGGTGGACCTGGACTCGCGCGCCCCCTCCATGGGTGCTGAAGACTTTGGATACGTTCTGGAACGCGTGCCAGGTGAGGGGAGGGGAGGGAGAGGGGACCGGTTGGGGGTTCAGGTAGCATGGATGGGGCACACAAGTGAGAGGCCAGGCCTGTGCAGTGGTGGGAACAACACTGGTGGATCTGGACTCGAGTGCGCCCTCCATGGGTGCCGAGGACTTCGGATACAAAAGAATGCCGGGTGAGGGGTTGGGGGGGGTAGGGAGCGGTGGCATGCCTGTGAGATGGCTCGTGGGTGGACCTGGACTCACGTGCGCCCTCCATGGGGGCTGAGGACTTTGGATACATCCTCGAGAGAGTGCCTGGTGAGGTTGAAGGGGACGGGGTCAAGGTTGCGGGGAAGGTGGGGGCGGTGAGAGAGGGCAGGCGTGTGAGATGCCTCATGCGTGGACCTGGACTCGCGCGCGCCCTCCATGGGCGCTGGGGATTTTGGATACATCCTCTAGAGAGTACCAGGTGAGGAGAGTGTTGGGACTGCCAGGTTGAAGGGGGGGGACAGGTAGGGAGGAGGTGAGGGAGGAGGTTGAGGGAGGAGAAAAGGGAGAAGGTGAGGGAGCAGAGTCCTTGCTTGTACAAACTCTGGTCCTGGGTTACTGGTGTTGGTAACCCCCTGTGCAATATGCACTATCCGAGTCTGCTCTCTCTCTCTCTCTCTCTGTCCCACCTGTGTCCCGCCAGGCTGTTACCTGTGGATTGGCAACGGCCCCACGGAAGGAGGCTGCATGCTGCACAACCCCTTGTGAGTGGCCACGGGTGGGGCCTTGCATGTGGTGGGAAATTGAACGCGAGACTCGCTGGGAGCAATGCAGGCTGTTGGCTGGTAAAATCTCCACACTAAATGAGGGAGTCTGTTACCATGTTCAAGTTCGCCGTGTTCTTGAATGTGCCTTTTTGGTTCTTGTATGTACCCAGTGTTGCCGTACCGTATTCAAGCCATTGCCATTCCTGTGGTTCCGCCGTGCAGGTACGATTTCAATGATGACATTCTCGCACTGGGGGCGAGCTACTGGGTACAGCTGGTTGTCAACGCCCTGCCGCCCAGAAAATGATTCTAGAGATAAATTTGGATTATGCCCAGCAGGTGGCATTTCTTTTAGTGTATCAAATAGTGTTATCTTCATTATGGCTCTGTGCAGTACTTGTGTGTGGTGATTGTGAACGCGGGCCACTCAGAAACGCGTACACCGAGACTAATAAACAGTAACCAGTTTAGACCGATACGCATTCAGCCTCGCCCAACCAAACCGGCTACTTGGTGCGTGCGATAGCGAGGGCGCTAGGTGCAGCCACACGAGCCTTGCAAACACGAGCCTTGCAACCTCGTCTCCCTGCAGTGAATCCTGGTGTCCTTCCCACGTTCGCGGGCCGCCATGGCCTCTCAGTTAGCCTGGCGGGCGGCTGCCACGTCAGCTCGTCGCGGCTTGAGAGAAGGCCAGCGTCTCGTGGCTTCGATGACGTCATCTTCTCTTGTTCCTGCTGTGAGCGACGTCACTTCCGGATCTCCGCGTACCTCGAGAGTATCTGGACCGTCCGATCACATCGATCTGTCCCCGTTACAAACCGTCGATCAAACCCTTCAATCCCCAACGCCATCAATCATGCTGACGTCATCCGTTCCGCTCCGCCATCCCCTTATCGGTTCCATCTCCGCGCGCATCCCTTGCGCTGATGCGATCAGTGGCTTCAGGGCACTCAGATTGCTGCCACGTGGCGCTGGTGAGGGCTATGACTGGTTACCTTGAACCCCCTCCCCGCTCTGAGCCCCTCCCCGTTCTCTGCGCCTCCCCGCTCTCAGCCGCTCCCCTCTCTCAGCGCGTTCACTACTCGCATTGTCGCACCGCGCGTCTTCCAAACAGCCACTCTCCCTTCCCGACCCTCCCCATCTCCGCCCGTCTCCGCCCCTCTCCACCCCTCTTCGCGCCTCACCTCTCATTCAACCATGCTTCTCCCTCTCCGCCTCCCCCCCTCTCCCCCGTTGCAGCGCCATTCCACTCCGCCGCGCTCCCAGCCGCAGCATCAGCCGGCGCGGATCAGAATGCGGGCAGCGGTGGCGGGGGAACGGGGGGAGGCGGAGCGGAGGGGGGAGGCGGAGGGGAGAGGCGGAAGGAGGAGGATGGGGAGTGGCGGCAGTGGATTCAGCAGGCGCTGTCAAGTGAGTGCTGCTGACACGTGGCAGCGTCTCGCACACGGAGCACGTGGCAGTGTGGCACGCTAGGTTCCAATGAATGGGATTACAACGTAGCTAGCAGCTTCTCACTCCAAGCTCTAGTAGCCAGCTCACCATTGCCACGCACACCTGGCGAAGTGAACTGCTTCGTTGCTGAACCCTTATCCTGCCACGTGGCACTCACCAGCGTTCCGTGTTGCATGTGTGCTGCACGTGTGTGTGTGTGCCTGGTCGCTTGGCAGAGGACGGGGAAGGGGGAGGCAAGGAGGGGCGTGAGCAGCAGGCACGCGCAGCAGTAGGTGGGTGGTCCGTCACACAGCACCTCCCCTCTGCCTCTGGCTGTGTCGTCAGTCCATTTCACTTTGCCCATGCGCTCTTCCCCTTGCCACCGCGTCTCTCCGTCCTTCCTCACTTCCCTCCCCTTTCCCTCCCTTCCCTCTCTCTCTCATCTGCCTACATCACTGCCCCCACACCACACCCTTCCCTGCAACGAGGTGACTTTTGAGTCGACTCAAAAGTCCCTTCCCCCTCTCTCCCTGCATCTCTCCCTGTCTTCCCCCCCGTCCCCGTCCCTCCGTGCAGCCAAGCTAAGCAGTCAGTCAACTTTTTCCTCCCTGTCTCTCCCCCCTCCCCCCCCCCCCCAATCCCCGTCCCTCCGTGCAGCCAAGCTGCAATCAGCCGCGGCCCAGTCCCCCTCTTCCTCCCCTCCACTCCGCCCTTTCCCCCAACGCTTCTCCGCTCGCTCTTCCGCTCCCCCTTCCTTCTCCTCCTCCCCCCCTTCATTCTCTTCCCAAGATTTCGATGAGTTAGAGGCGTTGATAGGGCCTGATGAGGAGGAAGAGGAGGAGCAGAGGAACGGAGGGAGGAGAGGAGGGGAAGAGAGCAGGGGAGGGATGAGAGTGGGAGGGGAGAGAGGGGAGAGAGGGGAGGGAGGGAGAGGGGAGGTGAAGGAGGAAGTGGAAGGGAGTTATGGGAGAGGGGGGCGCGCAGGGGGATTCGGAGGGCGGAGTGGAGGGGGGAGGAGCTGGGGAGAGGGGGAGGAGTGGGGGGGACGGGCAGGAGGAGGCGGGGAAGGGGCAAGGGGGAGGTATGGGGGAGGGGGGGAAGGGGGAGGGCCAGCCGGAGGGGTGGGCAGCTGGGGGGGCGGGGGCGGGGGGATGGGTGGGGGGCCATGGCAGGGGGTGGCGGAGGTGGAGGCGGAGATGGTGCTATCTGACAGGGCGATGAGAGCAGTGAGAGAGGTGGATCTGGAGGAGGGCGAAGCTACCTTCCAGTTCCGCCCCGACCGCACGTACTACCCTGGGCAGACGTACTCCGCTGAGGTACGCAGGGCAGATGTAATGTCTTGTGGTACGCAGGGCAGATGTAATGTCTTGTGGTACGCAGGGCAGATGTAATGTCTTGTGGTACGCAGGGCAGATGTAATGTCTTGTGGTACGCAGGGCAGATGTAATGTCTTGTGGTTCGCAGGGCAGATGTAATGTCTTGTGGTACGCAGGGCAGATGTAATGTCTTGTGGTACGCAGGGCAGATGTAATGTCTTGTGGTACGCAGGGCAGATGTAATGTCTTGTGGTACGCAGGGCAGATGTAATGTCTTGTGGTACGCAGGGCAGATGTAATGTCTTGTGGTACGCAGGGCAGATGTAATGTCTTGTGGTACGCAGGGCAGATGTAATGTCTTGTGGTACGCAGGGCAGATGTAATGTCTTGAGGTACGCAGGGCAGATGTAATGTCTTGAGGTACGCAGGGCAGATGTAATGTCTTGAGGTACGCAGGGCAGATGTAATGTCTTGTGGTACGCAGGGCAGATGTAATGTCTTGTGGTACGCAGGGCAGATGTAATGTCTTGTGGTACGCAGGGCAGATGTAATGTCTTGTGGTACGCAGGGCAGATGTAATGTCTTGTGGTACGCAGGGCAGATGTAATGTCTTGTGGTACGCAGGGCAGATGTAATGTCTTGTGGTACGCAGGGCAGATGTAATGTCTTGTGGTACGCAGGGCAGATGTAATGTCTTGTGGTACGCAGGGCAGATGTAATGTCTTGTGGTACGCAGGGCAGATGTAATGTCTTGTGGTACGCAGGGCAGATGTAATGTCTTGTGGTACGCAGGGCAGATGTAATGTCTTGTGGTACGCAGGGCAGATGTAATGTCTTGTGGTACGCAGGGCAGATGTAATGTCTTGAGGTACGCAGGGCAGATGTAATGTCTTGTGGTACACAGGGCAGATGTAATGTCTTGAGGTACGCAGGGCAGATGTAATGTCTTGAGGTACGGCCCAGGCAGAGGCTCGGAGGTTGCATCTGTTGTTGGCACAACACGGAGACCTTCCAGTTCCGCCCTGATCGCACCTATTACCCTGGGCAGACGTACTCCGCTGAGGCGAGGGCAGAGCGGCCATGGGCCCATGAGGTTGGCAGTTCAGTCCTTCTCTAAGGTAGGTTTTGAGACGTCTCAAAACACTCCTTTTTTCAGGTAGGTTTTGAGACGTCTCAAAACGCTGAGGTGAGGGCAGAGCGGCCATGGGCCCATGAGGTTGGCATTTCAGTCCTTCTCTAAGGTAGGCGGGATGGGGGGCATTAGCAGGCGAACTACTGGGGCAGACCTAGGGGTACTGCAGGTATGAGGTGTCATATTGCTCTTGCAAAACAAAAAGGCAACGTGTTATGATGCACTTAGGAGTCACGTCCTTGTGATTGTATCAAGCATGGCATGTGCCTATGGCCCCTCCCTGTGTTTCTCTCTTGTGGATGGCAGGAGTTGGACATATCCCAGCCCCTCCCTGACGGCCCGGGGGAAACGCGGCGCAAGCTGCCCACTCCCACCACCAAGGAGGCCCTGCGCGCTGCTGACTTCCGGGTAAGAGGGGGGGAGGGGGCGAGGGAGGCGATGGGGGCACAGAGGAGGAAGAGTGTGAGTGGGGGAGGGGAGGGGGGGTGGGCGAGGGACACAAAGTGGGAGTGGGTAAGAGTGCAAGCTGTCCGCCCCCACCACCAAGGAGGCACTGCGCGCTGCTGACTTGCGGGTAAGAGGGGGGAAGGGGGGCGATGGGGGCACAGAGAAGGAAGAGTGTGAGAGAAGGTGGGGAGGGCGGGAGGGTGGGTGAGGGACACAGAGTGTTTGCGGGTAAGAGTGCAAGCTGCCCACCCCCACCACCAAGGAGGCACTGTGTGCTGCTGACTTCCGCTTGAGATGGGGGGGAGGGGCAGTAGGCGAGGCGCGTAGGGAGGGAGTGGGCAAGGGGAGCCCGGGCAGGGAGAGGGCGATGGGGGGAAGGAAGAAATGGGAGCGAAGTTGGGTTGAAGGACACGAGGATGGGAACCGGGGCAGCATCTGTGTAGCAGACAGGGGAATGGAGGAAAGGAATAGTTAGCAGACAGGGTCAGTAGGTACATGTGCTTGCTGGCCCTTCGAGAGGCTGCCCTGCCTGCAAATTGTTTCTGTCTTCCGTTACATTCTATGCCCCTCCCTGTCCTCCCCTTCAGAACGTGCGCTTCCTGTCACAATTCATCTCTGAAACTGGCAAGATTAAACCCAGAAACAAGGTGAGCTTACTCTCTCACTCCCCATGTGAGGTACGTACCAGAGTGCAATACCCTACCAGTATGTGCTTCCTGCTTATTCTCCAAGAGGCCAGCCTGCTGCCTGTTTATCGTCCTCACTCTCACTCCTTGTGGATGCTTTGCCTCCACACTATGCCAACAAGCGCACTCGCATCTGTTCCACCTCCTCCACTCCTCATGCCATGCCGCCATCTTTCACTCTCCCTAAACTGCGTGCCGTACCGTCCCTGCAGACTCGGCTGTCTGCCAAGGCGCAGCGTCGCGTGGCTCGGGAGATCCGAACCGCCCGGGTGTTTGGGCTCATGCCGTTCACGCAGGCAGGCCGACCGCCGTTTAGGTTCGGCAAGGACCCGAACCTGGAGTCAGGGGAGCCGGAGCAGGGAGAACTCGAGCTGGCAGCTGCTGTGGAGGATGTGAAGGAGCTCAAGGCCATGGCCGGGAGATAGGTAGCTTGCTCAGGGCTAGTTGGAGGCTAGAGCTGGAGAGTAAGTACTTTCATCAGGCACATCGGCGGATGGTTGTGATATACTCTACCATAATATTTGCCTAGGTAAAATATCAACAGCATGTTGCCTTTTCAACTAAGCTAGTGGATACTTCAACACCAGGTGCTGTGAGTGGAAGATACATATTAAACGCCTAGCTACTCTAATTACCTACTTCCCTTTCACATCCTTGTGCATGGCCGTCCCAACATCATCAGTATCTGAGGTTGACACCTGAATGTTGCCCGTTGAGCCTCATCTTAGACATCTCATACGCCGCTGCATCCGCTGCACTGCTCCCGTAACTCCCCCCATCTCCCGCCCCCCGTTGCACCACATTAGGCTGCAACCCACTCAATGGCAGATGCTGCTGCTCTGGCACCGGCATGGCGGGCACCGCCCTGGAAGGCCATCTCATGCCTCCTGCAGCACCTGCTTCCGGCACGGAGGCAGCAGCGCCTGCTTCAAGCACAGAGGCATCGAAGGTGGCAAAGGTGCCGCCACGCGCTACGTGCTCTCGCACGCGGAGGATGCCCATTTGGAGGTACTCCCTCATTGTCTCGCTGATGCTGGACAGCCGCGCAAACACGTCAATCTGTGATGTGGGAGGGTGAAGAGGGGAGCACATGAGAGGGGGAGCGCATGAGGGGGAGCGTATGAGAGGGGGAGCGCAGGAGAGGGAGAGTGCACGGAGGATGCCCATTTGGAGGTACTCCCTCATTGTCTCACTGATGCTGGCCAGCCGCGCAAACACGTCAATCTGTGGCATGGGATGGCGTATCAGGGGGAGCGCATGAGGGAGGGCCCATGAGGGGGAGCACTTGAGGGGGGAGCCGAGGGAACGAGAGGGACAGGAGTTGATTGGAGCAACGAGTTGGCAGGTAAATGCAGGGAGGGAGCTCAAGCATGGATAGGCATAGAAAACCACATGTTTGGAGGTCCGAGTAGTTGGAAGTGATTCGAAAAACAGTATTGTGGGCATCAGCAAGCACTCAAGGATGTGGGCTTACCCCAGGGTGAGACTGCATGTAGTAGTGAAGCTCGAAAAGGCTGACTGCCCCTTGCTTGCGATCCACTATCTTGCGCACTATGCTCTGCAACTCGTCCTGATCACATGCAGTGGAGACAAGGGGGAGAGTAGGAGTGACAGGGTGAGAGTGGGAGAGACAGGAGAAGAGTAGAATTGAGCAGGGGAGACAGGGGATGGAATGAGCGTCGTCTAGCAAGAAGAAACAGGGCTGACCGGAACCAGCACACAGAGAATTCTTAATCCAAGTACAGCCCATCAGCTCGCATGACTTCACGCAGTCACAAAACCTCAAGGGCTCACCTGGTCAGGCAGCGAGGAGTCATCAGGCACTGCAGCAGCAGCATCAGCATCAGCGGCGGAGGAGCGTTCGAGGACCTGCTGCAGCACGAGGTCGACCTGCTGCAGGATGAACGGCTGCGGTGACTCGTCGATGGGGATCAGCGACAGGTGCCCCTTGATGGCCGGGCCCTTGGCTGCCACCGCCTCTGCTAGGATCTTGCGGAACATGGATAGCGTGCGCTCGTCCGTGGTCACTCTGGTGGAGAGATGAGAATAAGGGGGAACAGGAGGAAGAGGGTTCTTGAGGCGCCTAAAAATCGGCTGCCACCTCCTTTGCCAAGTCCTTGCGGAATATGGACAGCATGCACTCGTCCATGGTCACTCTGATGGGGCAGTGGGGGAGGGGAGGAGGGGAAGGGGGATGTGTCAGACGAGAAGAGCGTAGTCAGACGTGTGGACGGACAGCAGCAGCAAGAGAAGGTGGCTTGAGTGTCGCGTATGAGCGTGGCATGGCACCTGGTTGCATTGTGCTCACATCACATCACATAGTGCTCGCACAGCTGGCTGGCTCACCTCCTCCTGAGCTCGGCGTGGGAGAAGTCGCTGAAGTACTGATGGATGCCAAACAGCAGGCGGTCAAAGTCCATGTCCGCCACGTACCCACTGAAGTTCTGCATGGGTGGAAAGTGAGGGCGGCATGGGTGGAGGAGTCAGGGAGGCTATTTTTGAGTCGACCCAAACAGCAGGCGGTCCAAGTCCATGTCCACCACGTACCCACTGAAGTTCTGCACCCACGGAGCAAAGGTGGTACGGATGGAGAGACGGAGGTATTGGTGATTCATTCGGACAATGTGTCCAGTATGAACGGGAAAATATTATTTTAGGAGGAGAGATGGCAACGATGGAAGAATGCGATGATTCTGGGCAGGATTGAAGGAAAGCAGAAGGCAGCGTGGCACCCTGGCTGACCTTGCACATGCGCAGCAGGCACTTGACGACGAGTGCGGCGAGCGGCGTGCCATCGGGGCCCTTGACGTCCGCAGCGGTGGAGCCCTTGATGGTGTAGGTGGGGCGCAGGATGGTCATGAAGGAGAGGAAGAGCGGCGTGGAGGGCGCGGTGTCCAGGATCTTGAGCAGCAGGATGTTCACGGCGCGGCACAGGTCCGCGGACGAGTCGTCGGGGTTGCGCTGCTTGACGCGCTCGTGCAGCATGAAGATTGTCATGTCCTCCAGCAGCAAGCGTAGGTCATCATCGGGAATCTGCATGCTCAGTGACTTGGTCTCAAACAGCTGCATGGATGGGGTGTGGGGGGGTGGAGAGGGGTTAGAGGGCTCCTCCAGTGCTGCTTGACGCGCTCGTGCAGCATGAAGATGGTCATGTCCTCCAGCAGCAGCCGTAGGTCGTCGTCCGGAATTTGCATGTTCAGTGACTTGGTCTCAAACAGCTGCACGGGGGTTTGGGAGGGGTGAGAAGGTGCAACAGGATGGGTGGGGAGGGGTTAGAGGGCTCATCCAGCAGCAGGCGCAGGTCGTCGTCCTAAATTTGCATGCTCAACGACTTGGTCTCAAACAGCTGTACAAAAGGAGGAGAGCGGGGGAGAGGTGGCAGTGAATGGAGAGGGGGGTGAGTGGGCCTTGGCGATGGGCAAGGCAAAAAGGCACATCGCACACAGCTCCAGGGCTGCTTCCGTCGATGCAGAATTGCAAGGGCAAGCAGAGTGCGGCAGGGTAAGGCAGGGTGAGGAAGGGTGGGGCAGGGTGGGTGGGACAGGGTGGGGCAGGGTGGGGCAGAGTGGGGCAGGGTGGCAAGGACAGGGCGTACCGTGAGCAGCGAGTTGAGGATGTACTTGTAGGTCTTGACCTGTGCGTCGGGAACGGAGCGCACGAAAAACTGCACAAACTGTGCAATTCAGGGAGGAATGGGGCACAGGGAACAAGGCAGAAGGGAATGGGCAGAAGGGAGCGGGGCAGCGGGGAATGGGGCAAAGGGGGAAGGCCAGAAGATCCTTGAGAAACACATCCATTCTCTGATGCTTCCTAAGGTTCAGACTTGTAAGCTCAACATGCATGTCAGGCAACATAAACTGCACTCAATAACACCTACTACCCGAGCAACCACACACATACATAACCGCCCCCTCGCCGTTGCCACACCTGGAAGCACAGCACCTTAGTGTAGCGCGCCCCTCCACCAACCAACAGGTTTTTTAGCCCCTCCACGACCCTTTCAGGCGCCGTACCTGGAAGCGCAGCATCTTGATGTAGCGCGGCATGTGCTCGCGGAACACAGCGAGCACGCGGGGGTCCTCCTCCGTGATCCCCCTTCGCATCTCATGGAACAGGTACTTGAGCCCCTCCACCACCCTCTCCGGCGGCGCTTCACGATCAATGAACAGAATGGCCTCAAAGAACGACTCCGGCCCCGGGTGCGCTGAGTGCGACGAGTGCGCGTAGGCGAGGCTGTCTGTGGCGCGGTGGCGGGTCATGGCCGCCATGTGGGTTGGGGCGGTCACCATAGGCTCTGTTGCTCTGTGGGGCATGCCTGGCGGCATGCCTGGAACCATGCCGGCCCCGTTGCCGTATGCGGGCTGCTGGTAGTGCATGGGCGCTGCTGCTAGTGGCTGGGCCGCTTCTGCCATGTGCATCCTCGTGGCCCTGGGGGAGTGAAACAAAGAACCAGGAAAAGCAGCAACAGTTTCTTTTACCACACCAGAGAGCACGCACCAGGTTGGACGAGGAGGACGACTGGATGGCAGCGACGAAGAGCAGCCAACAGTAACGACAAGCTCGGAAGAAGAAGGTGAATGTAACAGGTGAAGGGGGCATAGCCTTACAATGGCAGGGCTCCGATGGGTACTGGTGCCTCCATGCCTGCTGCCGCTCCTCCTGACATGCGCCTGCCCCTCTGCTGCCCCGGTGTTCCCTCCCTGCGCTTCTCCATCTCTCTCGCCTGCACACGCGTACGCCAAGGCAACGGGGTAGACGGCCACAATGGTGGGGGAGAAGCGCTTGCACGGAAGGCTCGCTGGCATTCGAGCCACGGAGACAGAAGCAGGAAGCAAACTGCAAGTGAAATGTAGCGTTTTTTTGAAATAGATGCAGATGGCGTGGTGGAAGGCAGAAAGCAAGGGCCCTGAAGAAGAGGGAAAGGATTGAAAGAAGGAGTGAGGGAAGGAGGGAGAAAAGCATACCTTCCACTTGAGCTTGTCTTCAATGAGCCCCCTCTGAGCGTCGGTGAGTTTCCCCAGCAGGCGCCAGATGTCATCCCCCAGCACCACGTACACGGACGCCAGCATGCTCAGCGCCGCCTTGCGCAGCTCCGTGTCTCGCTCCGTTGTCAGCGCCGCCACCGTCACCAGCGGTACCCGCGAACTGCCCATCGTCTGCACACATGGTCGGCACATGAGGGAGCATGGGATCATGGGAGCATGGGAAGATTGGAGCATGGGAGCATGAAAACATTGGAGCATGGGAGAATGGGAGCATTGGAGCACGCGGGCATTGGAGCATGGGAGAACAGATGAGAAGGACAGGCGGGCGGGAACAAGCAGCTCACCTCAATGCCGTGTCTCTCCAGCATGGCTTCCATGTGCTCCACACACTCAATGCGAGTGCGGTTGTTCTTGGAGCGCAGCCCCTCCACCACCGCCTG